AATAAAAAAAAAAATTTTGAATTTACTTACTTGTAGCCGGAGTTAGAGGCGGTCGGATATTTATGACCGCTACTGTACTATTTACACTACCTGAAAATAAGTTTACGTAGTTAGTTTTTTAGATTTTATTCAAAATTGTATATAATAAAATCAATTAATTTAATATTAATCGAAAGTCTTGATTTTTGTTTATATAACAAAATAAAAATAATTTTAAATCATAAATAAATATAATATAATAATAATCAATCTGATAACTTATTTCTAACAAAATAGGTAAAAATCCTGAATTTACCGTTATTAAATAAGCACAAATTATCAAACTATATAAAAGTGGTCACAGAAAGTCTGATATTTTTAGAATTATAAATTAACCAGAGTTCACAATTAGAATAATAATTCAATAATATAGAGATTCAGATAACATGTTAAGCAAAAAGAAGTAATCAGCCTCTGTTACTTGATGATAAAGATTGTAAAATTTTAAAAAAAAATTGTTAAATAAATAATAAAACTTCAGCTAATATAATACAAAAGAAATTTTTAGCAACAATTAGTTAAGATATTTGTACTAAAATAATTTAGAAAAATTTGCATCAAATTGGATACAATTCTTATCAAATTGCAAAAAACCACTTTTAAATGAAAATTAACATCAAAAACAGCTAGAATGATGCTTAGAAAGACAAAATTAGACAGTACAACAATGGAGAAATATCATATAGAATGATGAATCAAAGTTTACTTTTTTTTTAATAATAGTCTTTTTTGAATTTAGCGTAAATCAGACACTCATTTTAATATTGAAAACTTAAATCTATCTATTAAACATAGTGATGGCGAAATCATGATTTGAGAATATTTTTCAGATAACGAATTGGGTCCTTTAGTGAAAATAGAAGGAATAATCAATCAGCATAATTATATAAAAATCTTAGATGATAACTTATTGCTATTTATTGATTCAAAGTTTTGTAACTGATCTTACAAATTTTAGCATGATAATGCATCCATTCACACACTTAATGATGTTAAAGCATAGGTTGTTAAAAAAAATTAAATGTTAATTAATTAGCCTACTCAATCTCTAGATTTGAATCCAATTGAGCATCTTTGAAATCATCTTGAATGTTTGTTGCATAATCATGTATTAGAAGAATGATCTATAAAATTAATTAACATTAAATTATTATAAATAGAAGATGTATTTTATTTTATAAAAGTAGTATAAGATAGATGAGAAAATTAAAAACTTTTTCTGCTAATCATCAATATGCCCAAAAATTTACACAAATCTAACAATCGCGGTCACTCTGTGTCACTTTTTTCAAACAGATAACTAACTAAAAAGCAAAATATTACCTAGACTCTTGACTCTGAACTTACTCAAGAACTGCCAAAAATGTTTACTGAACAAATTCTTACCAAGGATACTAACACTATGAAAGTTGACTCACTTGCAAAAAGTTTAACAACACTGATAAAGGAAAAAATAAAGCATACAAAACTGCTGTTCCACCTCCTAAAGAAAATACAATGAATATCGACAGTTTATCAGACATGTCAGAAAATATTATTGATAACACTTTTGTTGCATTTGCTGCATCTGTCCTTAATGCTGAGAAATTTTTTGCGTACTTTCCTCTTGAAAAATACACTAGTGTGAACCCCTAACAGAAGATAGCTGAGATCACAGACAAATATTATTTTAATTACACATCTTTCGTAGATGTAACATGTAGAAAACTACCTGCAGATCCTTCTACTAACATTCTCAAAGTTGCCTTTTTAAACAAGATGATCTTTTGCAAAGTGCAGATTCCAAACACGAACAAGATCATGTTTTTATCTTTTGTCATTCAAAAATTTCATTCTTTCATTACTACACAGTCGATCACAGTAACTGAGATCCAATTAGACGCTATAGTTACATAAATAAAAATTTTTTCTGATACAGGAATATCGTCAAGTATATGACAACGTGCTACTATATTACTTTTGATGAAAAAGCTAAATTTGAAGAACTTAAAGGCATAGATAGTGTACTATTAAATAACGATTGGAAAGAAATCTAAAATTGATCCAAATTCTCAATCAAACTTATAAATCTACCAAGAGGAATAATGGCACGTGACCTTTTAGACATCGGTCGAATGGTTGACACTATTGCTTAGATTATTTCACATGCAAGATCAAATTATAATTACCTTCAGCACGCGTATTTTTATTTTCATAATGCTAATGAAGCTGAAGCAGCTCTTAATACTCCAATTCTATTGACGCTTACCTTGATGTTCACCAAAGCATAGTTAATGTAAGAAAAGTTGTCATATGATTTTTAGAACATACCAGATGTTAATTCCTCAAAAAGACAAGTTTCTCCTCAGACGTGGGCTTGAATTAAGAAATATTCATCACATTATTTATTTCATCAGGCTTTTTACAGAAGTGAGAGCGTAGGATTCTTTATTCTAAGCGAGGCCAATAATAATATCATAAATATGTAACTTTTTTTTATTTATAACAAAATTTCTGACGAGATGATAAAAAATGCAAAACGATTAAACTTGTAGATAACAACCAGACTTTTTATCCACGCGTAAATATATAAAATGCGACTGTTACACGTCATTGTGAAGTATCTTGAATACCTTGTTTATTTTTGACTAGTCACCTTGTAACAGGAACAACTATCGAAATTGCTGCACTTGTGACTTTAATCGTTTGCCAACTTTTGTTGCATTCAAAATCTGTTGGTCTTGATATTCTGAATTTTGTTACGCCCGAAAATACATTACTCATTGGTTCTTTAAAAAATAAAGTTCATAACCAATAAAAATTAAAAAAAAACTCATGCACGTGGTAATTTTCCTATGCAAGTGAAATCTTGCAATGTGTTTTAATCCAAGATGAATAATACTTAGTTTCTTTAGAATTTATTTAATGTAACGCCGTATATATAATAAAAGATTTCTGGATAAACAACCAATTTTTCAATCGACGAACAAAAAAAATAAAACGAGGGATAATGACTTGATTTCACAATCTCGATTTGCCTATTTTCAATATTCTTTGGATTAATCTATAGGTTACTAATAGTATATTAAATTATGGGATGTCCTTTCAATTTGACATAAATAAAAAATTTTCTTTAAGAGGGAATTTTTTTCAATTGCGACGACTAATTAATATGGTGTTAAATCAGAAACTCATTTTTTTTTTTTTTTTTACAAATGATAATAATAAATAATTTTATTGTGTTGGTTTTCTCTTTATATAAATACAAGATAATTTAGATAATTTGAAAATGTTTAAGAATAATTTTTTTTTTTTTTGCAACTATGTAAGACATTCATTTGATCTAATATCCCGAAGATTTTTTCAATTCACATAATTCTGACCAAGATTCAGGCGGGTGCATTTTTCTAATTTCATCCGGTAGCTCGATCAATTGCATTACAAGACCTACTTCCACATGCCACTAAATCATTGAATGAAAGAATTAAATTTAGTTTTTTTTTTTTTTTTTTTCCCAAAATAAACGAAATATTCTTTTTACCTCCTATTATTTTATTACGGAAATTTTAAAAGAGATGGAAAGCAAAAGTTAGTAATGAATCAAGGAATTTTATTAAAAGTGAGAACAAAGGAGAAAAAATTGATACCATATGACAGTGATGCCCCCACACTCCAGGGTTATCCACAACAAATCTCAAAGCAGACCACCTATTAAAAAAAAAAAAAGGATTTCAATGATCAGAAAGAATTTCCTTTAAAGGAAAGAAATATTTCTGATGAATTTTACCCTTTGATAGGTATTGTTGAGGTATCACGTTTGATTGGATTAACCGTATTCAATGCGGATTTATCAACTTCTGTTCCATTACCAATTCCAAGTAACCAAAATTGATGTCCGTGCTGAGTTGCAATAAATAATTAGATAATCATTCTAGGCCGTTATACTGCTTTATAAAAATAATACTTACCATGTGAAACGGGTGCTCTCCGTCATCAGTATCTAAATTGTAATTTGTTTACCTATTTAATAAATAATTTTTATAACGAAAGAATTTACAAAAAAAAATTAAATAATTCTCACTGATAAAATAAATATCAACAACTTCTCCAAAGGTATTAAAAATGAAAGCATTTTCAGCAGTGGAAAGGTTAGCTGTTGTTCCTTCAAAGACTTTAGTCAAAGTCGAAGAAGTAAAATCAGGAACATAGGTAGATTCATTAAGATACGCCTTGTCAATGCCTAATGAATCTGCATGAAACGCAATCTCAAGTTTAATTTCTCTTGTTGCTTCGGGAATTTTTTCTTCATATAATGGTTGTAAGGTTTTTTGATCCAGATCAACACATTCTTCCAAGAAATTCGTCCACGGTACATCCTTTGGAACAGAATCCTCGGGTGCACCATCATAATGCACTATAGCTGTAATAATCGGAAGTGAAATTGCTTCATCCGGCATACACATCTTTTGAAATTCTGAACGCATGATATAATTGTCAACAGGTTGATCCGCAGTGACGATGACGGAATATCTTTGGGCAACATTGATAGGAAGACGATGAATTTTATTTCGTTTGGTGTAGGTACCTTCCACTTCTATAACCTCCATCACATGTTTATCAATTGAAAAGAAGAAAGATGAAAATGCGCTAGTGAACCGTAAAAAAAATATGTTTACTAAGTATTCAATCGATCATTAATAACATCGTGTTTTTTATTTCCCAAGTTACCTGGTATTGATGATGCGAAGACGATATCTTTTATTGGGTACAAATTCAAATTTAGCGAGACCAGCGTTATCCACGCATGTAGAACCTGGTGGAGCTTTGGAACAATCGTAGTTATTTTTTCCATTTATCAATCCATTATCGGGAACTGAAATCACAATGATGAATTTTAATTTTCGTTACACATCTTAATAACATCACGACTTGGTTTAATCCTACCTGGCTATAAAAGAAAAAGCAAAAAAAAAAAATGAATTAATATTATAAAAAAAAATTTGCCGATATTTCTAACTTTAAAACTACATACCTCTTCACCTTCGCTTTCAGGGGTCAAGAATGACTTTAACAAAATTTGAGCCTCCGTGTGATGATAATCAGTTAACATGACAAGAATTTCCTCATCATACTCTGCTCTATACGGATCTTCAGGATCGTGAATAACTGAAAAAATTGAAATCGAAACATAAATTATTTTGAACATCAGAAGAGGAAAAAAGATGGATAAATAAATTAACTTACTTAAAGCGCCAACAATTCCATCAACGTATTGAGTTAACGCGTGCGAATGGCTAAATAAGCGTGATCACGTGAGTATTCAAATGATTTGCAATAAACCTAATAAACCTAAAAGACCTAAAATGTACTTACTACCAGTAAGTGCCGGCTTGATCGGGAACCGTGAAATTGTAAGTAAACGTATAATTGTTTGGTATCTCACATTGGGTCTAATAATGTCACGTGTTATCAAGGATGAGAGGTGTTTGATCAGAGAAATAGAAATGAAATAGAAATCAACTCACCTGGCCTGGTACCCCATCGTACCTACAAAATTAGTCGATAAAATTAGTCGATCAATTTAGCTCTTTATGGTTACATAACGATAAAAACCAAATTACGTACCATGGAGTCCCTCTTTGAAACATTCCATGAGAATGGATTGCTAAATTAAAAATTGTATATTTATTATGTATACAACGATAAACAATCCGCGTGAAAATTTCTAGGCAACTTTACCTGTTGGGACCTCTAACTCATTGCGAACATTCATTACAATGCGATCTCCCTTGTTGACTTCTATGGTTGGTCCAGGATATTGGCCATTGATTGTTGATACAAGACGAGTAAATCCATCCGGAGCGAGGTTAACCTTTTTTAGGACAAGATCAAAAGTATTTGTTTTTGGGTCTTGATCCTTCGATTTGCGAGTTTCAAGGATATCTTGATTCCAAAGAGGTGTGGACGAAACCAAAGGTGTCAGAATAGTAATACAACAAAGAAGAAAAAAGGCTTTATAAAAAGACATGACTATCATCATTATTGGCGTTTTTAAGTAATTTTAATTCACGATGAATTGAGCGGATTGAGGTATTTCTGTAGAGCTTTTATATCTCTCATTTATTATAACTTGAGCAAAAGAAAGAAAAAAAAGGAGATGTCCAATTTGAATTAACAATTCTCCGATCAATCAGTTTTCGATTTCGCAAAAAGTTTCCTTGAACTTTTTCCGATATCTTTAGTGTTGTTATGGTAAGAAATCATACAAAGAAAAAATTTGCTTTGTTCAATTTTTTTTTTTTTTTTTTTGGTGTAATTTATTGTATTGAATAAATAAACTTTTATGTCGATGTACAACGGTTACGGTATATATAACAACATTAACCAATGAATCAGACAATTTTTTTTTTAAAAAAAAGTTTTTCCTTTTGTAAACATTAGATTTTTTTGTTGATCCCTTGTGTATTAAAAAAAAAGAGAGAAAAATAAATTTTGTCGTTGTTAATATTGTTGATCATTAACGCCTCCTCCCAATTTTGACGAATGGTTCTATAAATTTGTTAATATTGCGTTATTTTTGCGCAAAAGAATTTTCCGTGGATGGCGCAGTAAAATTAAAAAGAAAATAGAGTCGTTTATTGAAAGTTAAATTTGGTGTATCCAAAGAATAAAAAGTGTTCAAAAAGAATCAAAAGAAAGATGATAATATTTGTATTATTTGGAATTTATGGGTATATTGCAAACCTGTACAGTACGGTTAGCAATGTATGTATGGTATTGTTTTTTTCATATATGTACAGTATTAGAAACCATACAAGTATGGACTACTTGTAATGAAAAAACCATACATGTATACCATACATACATTCAAGAAAAAAACTGTACAATACATACATTGCTAACCGTACTGTACAGATTTGTGTAATACCGGAATTTATTACTCTTTTTTTCTTGCAACGCCATGGCTTCCTTCGAACCATAAAAAATCGGTGAGCTATGCTGCGGATCTTGAATTTCTGCAATCTAAAGAATACTCTTTGGAATGCAAGAATTTTACATTCTTTGTTTGGAGATTTCATATGGATCGTATGTTATTGTATTGAAAGGTTTCTTCTTTTTTTTTTTTTTTTGGTTGCAGCATTGTCAAAATATCTATTGCCGACTTTTTCACTCGTTTTTAATGAAAAGTTCTCAGACGAGGAACTAACCGGTTTGTAAAACTTAATGCAAAGAGAATGTTATTATTTCCTAAATTAATTTTGCCAAAAATCAATATTTCATGAATTCGAATCTTTAAAATATTATCGATTTTCATAATACAGAGATGACACAACACGTCCATAAAAAAAATAAACTATCATCTATTGAAATCAATTAGTATCCCAGAACATTCAATTCTACAAAATAAGGTATTATCATGTTAAACCTTTTTTAGAAAAGAAAAGATTATTTATTAACATATACTTTAGCTACGAATAAAAATGTCGAAAGTGGTCAAGATCAAAAGCGGATCATAGCGATTAAATAATAAAATATTCCAAAAAAAAGAATCATTTTGCTATAACGATAATAAATTAAATAAATAAATAGAGGCCTAAACAATATAAAGTCTTTAACTAAAAATACATGGACGCAATGTTTCTCTTCCTATAGAAACTCGGGATTCGTTAAAATCAATCATATTTTACAAAGATAAATCTAATAATTTGGTACTAAACATTAAAAATAAAAGAAAATTGATAAAATAAATTTTTTAAATTTGAAGTAGATTTTTGAGTATGAATTTATCACCACAATTTAATTTCCGATTTTCTGTTTGCTAATTTGTAATTTGATGGTAATTTCGTTATCAATATAAGAAAATAAAATTTAAAGTTTTTTTTAAGAATTTCTGTCGTCTTTGCATAATGCATTATTCTATAAATATTCCCAAATAAAAAACCTTATCTGTGGCATGTGCTAAAAGACGATCGCTACCTAATATCAATCGTCAATGAATTCCTTTTTTTTGTTTAAACATATTTTACTTCTCAATAAATTCACACGTTATTTCATTTATCTTAAAAACAAATGCCTCGTCACCTTCCTACTGACTGTTTAAATGATATTTTTGAACATCTAGAAAATAAGGATTTGCGTACATGCTTGTTAGTAAACAGTCTTTGGAATGTTATTTCCGTGAGAATTTTATGGAGAACCATTCAAAATTTCAATACTTTAATCGCTTGTCTTCCTAATGATTCCAAAGAGATCTTACAAGCGAATGAAATCATCATTTCAACATCAAGACCACCATTATTTAACTACATAACATTTATCAACTGTCTTTCGGTTAATGATGTTGGTGAAGCAATTGAAAATTTCCTTGGATATCGTCAACTTATTACCCCACAATGGGTCGATAAAAATAAAATCATGGTAATGACACGAGAAATATTTAAAATGCTTATGAATCAAATCTCTTTGAAAAGTTTATCCTTTTATTCCGGTTCCGTTTCAATCTCCACCCATCCTGGGTCGGTGGAATGCTTAAGGAATCTCTCGGAATTTACATGTAGTTCAAATATCTCTTCCGAATTCTTTCATCAGTTATCTCGAATATGTCACAACCTCCAATCGTTAAAGATAACTTTTGAGAAATCCATCTCAAATGGATTGACCGACTTGATCACCGTTCAAAAAAATTTAAGGCATTTTGACGTGTTAAAAAAATATTTTGACGAGGATTTAGATTTAACTCGATCGCTAACAAAACTTCCTAATACGTTAACAAAGTTGCACATTGACGGATGTTACCTACCATTGTCAACTATCATCCGCAAGCTCACAAATTTACAAGAACTTGTCTTATCATGTGATAACGAGGACTTTGAAGGTATTCAACACCTTGAACTTCCACATTTGCAAATCTTGGAATTTAAACGTAAATATCCTAATTCTAAATACTTGATCAAATTCTTGGAAAAAAATGGAAAGAATTTAAAAGTAATCGACCTTGGCAAGCTTGGGAATGGTTCATTACATTTTACCATATCCAAATTTTGTCCAAATCTGAAGTCGTTAATCACCATGATTAATAGGTTGGAACCATTAAAAGATGTTTTGAATAATTGTCAACAATTAGAGAGCATTGACATCTTTTGTGGTTATCATGGCAGTTTATCCGAGAGATTATTATTAAAGACCATCGTAGATTGTTCACCTGAAAGGTTTCATGAATTAAAATTAGATTTTGGTCATTACATTTTTCCGGAACCTCCATCTCATTGGGGGTTAATGTCTATTTTTGAAAGGTGGGCGAATCGTGTACCGTGTATCCCTCTCTCTTTGACTATTATTACGAATTTATATGATTCGGAAGTAGATGTAGAAGTTAACGAAATCATCGAGAAGTATAAAAAGTTGGGTGTTATTAAAGAATGCAAAATCAATAATGTTTATTTTGTACGAAGTGGATGTCATTAATTATACAATGATGTATTTTATATTATAAATAAATAAATTTTTAAGTTTATAATTGATTTGGTATTCCTGAAAAAAAAAAAAAAAATATTAGTTGAATTTACTTTTTATAATGGCTTGATATTATAAAACATTTGGTTAATACAAACTTAAAATGCCATTTTAATTTGGTGGTGAATTCAAAAATAATTAAATTTTTTTTACACATTTTTCGTGATAATTCGACATGTGATGGTGACGTTATCTAATAACGTTTTCCTTTTTGTATCATATGGGAGATTTTGCCATATATAATTGCCACGCGGGTTTTGACGTGGTCACTAAAAAAACTTATTGGCAAAACAATCAAACTTCATTAGGTCTTATTAACTAAGACGAGTTTTTCCAGGAAATTATAGTTAGCTATTAAAATCATATTCAGATGCAACTGACCCAAATTGACTTTTTGACATATTCATTCATCTCGAATGGAATTGGGGGAACCGGTTCTGGTGTCATGACTGAATATTTGCAGATGTATTAGCGTCCCTTCCTCGTGTTGTGTAATTTAACTTCCTTGCCAGGCACTGAGGATGAACGTATTCTACTGCGCCATGAAGAGCTCTTTTCCATTAATGTTCCTGCGGGCGTGATGAAGAACAAGTTTGGAAAAGCAATATGGGCAAATCTTCAAGGTATTGAACTCATTGGTTATGCCAATGTGTCCATGAACGCGATGTTATTGATCCCTATCCAATGCCCAATACAGTGGATTAGAGTAGGTTTTGGTGAATTGGAAAGAAGCTGAATATGGGCATGAATGTGTTTCCATTCCTGCGCTGTTATTTTACCATAAGCTCTTTTAGTTTGAATCTCTCACTTCCAGTTTTCCTTTGCTCATTTCTTCTGTTGAATCTCCTTATCTATACCTCACTTTTGTCATCATTCTCATTTTTTTAATGCTTCTTCAAAAAGGTTACTTCATTAATGAGACCAGCAGTGATTTTGTAGGGTTTTGGAAGAAGTTTAACATTAAAATTATAGGGTGTAAGGTCTGGATTATCCTCATCATTTTCAGAGCTTTCTTCATAAGAAGTAAGGATATTAAAATGATTTACAGTAGCAGTCATAAGTATCTGACCGCCTCTAACTCCGGCTACAAGTAAGTAAATTCAAAATTTTTTTTTTATTTAAAAAATACATAACCAACTAACT